CCATCTCATTTTCCTGTATATTTCTTATCTGGATTATGTTCTGTTCGTTAATGAGTTGTCAGCAGTTTTCCAATGTGAGGTATATAATCAGATAATGTGTTTAATTCTTAATGCTAATAAGGATTTCACCCTCTTCCTATCTATATGTATAGAATTAATTTTTCCTCTAAAAATGTTTGTTCTCAATCTACACTGACTAAAGATTGTTAATTTCATGTTATCACTGATGATAAAAAAATAGAAATATTCTTTTAGTGAATATAATTCAGCACTTCATATCTGTTTACTGACATTTGCAGGTTTCATATGCAAATGTTGTTTTGCCTCTAGCAGAACTAGAAGCACATCAATTTCCCCTGATTCAATCTTGTGTGTTTCCAAGGTTGGTGTCTGCTTCAGATATTGTGCAAAAAGCAAGTGCTGAAGCTGAGCGGAGAATAGATGCTCATGCTTCGACATGCAGGTGGATGTATTCTCTATTTGTTTTGTTGTCTTGTGCTATTCTTGCTGCTCAACAAATCTTCTCCTCTAGTTTATGAGATCGAAGGGCTCTTCACGTTGGTGAAAGTGGTTGAAAACTTTGGATAAATAAATATTTACGAGCGGTTCAGACGATAATGGTCTGTACAACACTATGGTTGCATTTTTAGGATCATCAAATTGCAGATACATTTCTAAGATCATACATACGTAGAGTGAGACTTATCATTAGTTGGCTTGAGTCGAGTGCTCAATTATAAAATCTCATCTAAAAATGATTGATTCAATCTCATAACTTTAAGATTTTGAAACAATCTTTTGAGTGCATTAAATACATTTTCTGCTGAAGTGATGGAAAAAAATTATGTACTTCATTTTCTTTTCAAAATAGTATGCAATTGAAAAGTATGCTATTCTATGCGAGCTGATCAGTAACCGTGAAGACGTATACCGTGTCATCAAAGTATTTGCTGCAAGGGAAGAATGGATGAGTCCTGAATCCAAAAACTATATTCAGTGTCTGGTAAGGAAACATATTTATATACTTTTCCTAGATGTTTATTGCCTGTATTCTGTACCGGGGTTTATCATTGGCAGTGATCTTTGGAACTTATTATTACCTATGCATTTCTTCTGTCAAAATGTGAGAGCTATTTAGACATCATGTGTCTGCTATCTAATATCTTATGAATTTAAGGTACGTTAGTTCAATCTCTGTGCTAATTACTTTCTTACCAGTGACAGATCAGAGACTTCGAGCGAAATGGGCTAAATCTGACCATGACCAAGAGAAAGGAAGTGGAATGTCTGAGAAATCAAATTCATGAGCTAAGCTGTCGATACATCCGAAATTTAAATGATGATGATACTTTTCTCCTATTTAGTGAGGATGAGCTAGCTGGTTTACCACCGGACTTTCTTAAGGTTAATATTATTGTTCTCTTCTTACATTCCGTCAGTTTAAAGAGTTCATTTTGAGGAAGTGGAAGGAAGTAAAAGCATTTGTCAGCTTGCTTAATATTTTCGTATTTTGTTTATTCTCCAGTTACATATTTACTGAATTTTCGCTAATTTCAAACTTGGCGTGGAACTTTAGACTGTGAAATGGCACAAGAAGAGAAGGAAGAGAAAATAAGAGAAAGAAGAAAGCAAAACGAAAACAAACTGGAGATCTCAAATTTCTATTTTTTTTTAAAACTTCATTAATTTTACTCAAAATCATCAATAATAGACAACTTTCAATTGAAGGTGCTCTGTTAAACAGAAAATTAAAATGTCTGACGCTAGGAAATTTTTTATGATTCTGATTTTTGTGATCTCAGTTCTTTGAAGGCATGTGTGATGCCTATAAAAGAGTGCCTATACTGATTATCTTTCGTAAGTCTATTACAGCTAATCTTTAGAGTACTTGAGACTTGAAATCTCCAATTTGTTCTCCTTTGTTTCCTTCTCCTATTTCTGTGTGCTTTCTTCTTATCCCAGAGTAGAATAGGCTGGTTTCAATTCACTTGCCTTTATGGCAAGTTAGAGTTGATTGAAGTATCTCAGCAATAACTGTAACTGGAAGTGAGTATAGGAGCTTTGAAGATCATGAATGCTTTATGGCAATATTTTGCTGAGATTGTGAATTGTTTCTATATTTTGCAGAATAATTCTAATATGCTGCTATATGTTAGTGAAATTTCTCTTTATGAAAGTTTCCTTTTTCTTTCCTTTTCTTTGTCCATAAAAGTCAATTACTTGCTAACTGATGTCTGCATTCTCTGGACAATTCAACGAATATTTATTCTAGTACTTATATATTTATTGCTAATTTTGGACCCTTGCCCAGAGTTTCGACAAAGACAGAAGTGGAAAATTCAAAATCACGCTGAAAAGTAACAATGTTGCAGCAGTTATGGAGCTATGCAAGGTATGATCTTCTGAATGGTTTCTTGCAGCTCCTTCACTGTGAACCAATATGTATGGGCTTATTTATTGATTTGTTATTAGGTTCTATTGCACTCACGGATTTTCATTGATTCTTGAATGATCTATATTTGTGTGGAAAACTATGTGAGGAATCAAAATTTCAAATTCCATGAAACAAGTAAACCCAAATAGAATGCTGAAAGCATTTGCCACCTTCTCAAAGCCTAACAATCGCTGATTCCAAACTTGATGCATATGTTGTTTTGATTTGTCTTAAATGACTGAGACAGCTAAGGTCAATTGTAGGGAATGAACAGATGAGGCATTACATTGACATAGGGTGGATGTGTTGACTAAGTTTAGGTTTGACATGCTTATTGCCACACAACATATTTAATTCTTGAGTGTCTTAGGTAATCATGAAACTAAGTATAAGGAGCCATGATAATTTCGGGTCTAGTAGCTGGTTAATGACTATGCTTGTAACCTTTCTAATTACTTCAATATTGGTTCCACAATGGAACTCTCTAGGTGGCTTTTTTGTATTATTGGATCAAGGTTATACTTACCATATCTGAATGGAAACTGGGAGGGAATTCCCAGAAAAGGAAATTGAGTGATGCGTTAGCTGCAGAAGATGCGAAGCTTAAGAGACTCAATTATCAACAAAAAGATGGCACCTCCCTAATATGTTCTTTCCTTTGTGTAAAATGACTCGGATAGCTAGAATCAATAGTAGGGTACGAGGTGATATTTACATGATGGTGGGTTCAGCTGGTTAAGTTTAGGTTTGACGTGCTTTGTCAAGGAAAATATTACTTATTTAGGAGTACTTTAGCTAATGAAGAAATTAATAATGCAAGGTCATTTGGTTCCCCCTCTAGGACCATTCTCGGTAATGCAAAGTTAGGGGTTGCAACTAGGTGGAGGCACATGGATTTCTTTGATGCTGATGGCAGGAATAGTATTAACTACCTCCCGACAGTGGCCAGAGATCTAATGTGGCTGGGTGATTGTTGCTGGTCTCTTAGAGTGAAATATTTGCTTTTTATTTTGTTTTATTATTATTATTTTTTTACTGATTAGGGTTTTGTTATCTGAATATTAGGAAATTTGAGAACAAAGAAAGAAAGTTTGGTATCAAAATGAAGAACTTTAGCTCTAGTACGAAATTGATATGACATAGCATATTAAGGTTTAGAATAATAGAATAAAAAAATTTATTTCTCACAGGAATGTTGAGTGCTCAATCAATGAGAATCAATAGATCTTGTTCATAAGCAGTCTTCACAATAAAGTTGAATCAGCCGTGTACTAATAAGGGTGTGAAAACAGTCTAATAGGAGTAGAATACTTACATAAAAAATAAATTGCTAAACCAAATAATTAGCCTGTTGTAGTAGTTCCAAAATGAGTTAATTACCTCTAAAATAACTGGGAGGGTAATAAATCCCGTAATATTGAGATATGATCATTCTCAGCTACTCCTTTTCCACTTCAGAAGCTAGTCTTATTCCTATATCTAGTTTTTGGTCATCTACGAAGAGAGAAAAAAGCGGTCTCTGAGGACATTTGCTTTCCCTATGGTAGATAGAGACGCTTGGTTCCACCCCTTGGATGTTCTGTTACCAGGACTACAATAGGGAGGATCTGGGGAATCTTTTAAGTATTGTGTCTTCTAAACATTTATAGTTTATGTGGGTGGCATTCCCCTAATACTTATTTATGTTATTGTATATTCTATTTTCTCTTTGATAAATGAAGATGGATTGTGGAGAAAAGTTTACAAAACTGCACACACAGAAAAATTACTGTTAGACTTATCAGACATCCAGTCTGTAGTATAGATATGAAGATGTAAGATGAAGTGGATGGGATTTGCCAATGTGTATGTTCATTAATTGATAGTTTCATTTGCCTACTCATATTAATTCATCTATTGGTCAATTTGCTTCCCATAAAGGGTGTCCACTGAAGGAATGTGTGGTGTTCAAGGTTTGAACTTCCGTCAAATATGTATCTAGTGCTCAGAAGTCAAATTGCATAATTATAATAGCCATTCCTAGAAAAACTTTATTAATCTATTGGACAATTTGCTTCCAGGAAAAGTGTGTGTATTTGGAAGAATGTGTGGGTGTTTAAAATATGACCTTCGATCAAATATGTATCAAGTGCTCAAGAGTCAATTTTGTATAATTATAATAGCATTCCTAGAAAACTTTGATTCATTTTGCTTACCGCAATCTGTGGAAAGTTTATTCATGTAGTTTGCACTTTTTTGTTTTGAGCCTTTATAGATAGGGACAACAAGGAGGTTAGTAGCTGTGGCATATGGGAAGAAGTGTGGAGAAGTTAATCTTTCAGCCCTGGAAAGTTTGGTATTTCATTTTCTCCCTTAAATATCTATTACACAATAAGAAGTCAACTGATATGGTACATTCCCTAAACTTGATTATATTAGTAGTGAATGAATTGACATGTAACATCCCATACATCAGTAGAGTATTGGAGAAAATTATCTAATCATTCAATTCACATTTTTCGTTTACATCCTGCTTCATGAGATACTTACCCCTCATATGTGTAGAATTCATAACATGTGTTAACAAAACGGCAATCTGAAGCAAACGTTATACAAATCCATTCTACTTCTGCTTTACAAATAATAATTCTGTTAATCTGTAAACAAGCTAAATTATTCGTCAACAATCACTGCTAAGTCTGCACACATTCTGAGTCATGGTCGGGTTCTGGAAGCTCTTGGTTTTGTTCCTGTTTAACTGCCTCTGTAATATAATAAAAGGATGAACTACAGAGCTCAGTAAGAGCGATTTAGAACTAAAAGCCAACGTACTGAAATAAGAGTAAGTAAATTTCTATTTTCCTCAAAACCCCTCTGCATCCATAATCCCCATGCCCCCTTCTATTCTCACTCATTTTCAGCCCTGTCCTTTTATCCATTTCCTGCTAACATCCACCCAGAACCCCTCACAGCACCTCTCTTTATTTTCCTAATGTAATCTACCCAGAAAATCATAACAGCATCTTCTGTATTCCACCCCCAGTTTTTCCCAGAATCCACAACAACTTTCACTTTATTCTACCCACATTTTTGTCCCAAACATTCTTACAACACTCAAGCTATTATCATGGCCAATTTCTTCCCATTTCGCCCTTGATTTCCTCATTCCCATAGCTGATATACCTCTCCAGAGTTCCCCATCCCAACCAGTTCCTCCTCTCTTACCTGCAGATGTTTTCAGTTATTTACCTAATATTTATTTTCCCAAGTTATTC